GTAAGAACTGACTAGATTCTTATGTTAGATTTGAGGGTGTTTAAGGAAGCAATAATCTCACATGGTGAGTATTCACTGTTTGTAAAGCTGATGTTAAATTCATGGTCAACTAGTAACAGAATTAACCCACAAGATTGGAGAGACATGGTTACAGCAGTATTGGAGCCTGGTCTTCAATTGCAGTGGAGGACCTGGTGGAAAGATGAAGCTTGGACCGTATAACAGCAAACTAGGGAAAAGGTTATTGAAATTTCCCGTGACCAACTTCTTGGATAGGGTGATTATGCCAATGTACAAAGAAAATCTCTATATGATGACCGCACCTTTATTCTATGCCATGCAGCATCTTTGAATGCTTGGGACAGAATCAAGTAAGTCAGAAAAAGAACTGAGTCATTCACTAAGGTTAAATAGGGCCCCAAAGAAACCTTCACTTATTTAAAAAATACTTATGAGATCCAGAAACAAACTAGCACAAAAATATAGAACACTATGAACTATGCTGTATTTCACTCTACTGGAAGAAGTCTAAAAGAATTTGAAGAATTTATAGGTACACATGATATATCAAAATTAAACCAAGAAGGAATAAATAACTTTAAAAGATCTGTAACCAGGAATAAGATCGAGGATGTAATAAAAATTACTCAAACAGAAAAGGCAGAAGCCTAAATAAATTTATTGCAGAATTTCAACAGAACATCAAAGAAGAATTAACACTAATATTAAAATGTTTTATGAAATGGAAAAGTACTGAAGGTTACAAAATGCTTTCTATGAAACCAGTATTACACTGGCATCATAGAAAAAGTCACAAAAATAAATAAATAAGATTGCAGAACAATTTGCCAGATGAATGTAGGTGACAGCATTCTTAACAAAATACTGCAAAACTAAATTCAATATTTTGTCAGAAGCACCATGGCCAAGTTATCTTTATTCCAAAATTTCAGAGCTGGCTCAACAAACCTAAATCAATAAAAAACTATCTATTACGCAATTAGACACAAATGCAGAAATATTATGTGCCGTCAATAGATGAAGAAATTGCCTATGGGATAATTCAGCTTTCCTTTGGGATAAAAATTATGAGGAAGTTAGAGGTGAGGGAGTTTATTTCAACACAATCCAGCTCACATATGACAAGCCTATAGTCAACATGTTTAATGGAGAGAGATGGAAAGTGATCATTAAGGTCAGCGAAAAGAGAAAGGTGTCTGTTTCTTCACTCCCATTCAATATAGTTTTTTAAAGTTTTAGAGTGATAAGAGTAAAAATAAATAAAAGGATACAAATAACAAGACAAGGAGTCAATCTATCCCTATATTCAAATAATATGATTCTCCACATAAGAGACACCCAAGAGAAGTGATTTCAGAAAAGTGGCTAAATATAATTTAGCCTAATAAAATATCAATAGCCTTCCTACATACCCATCATAGAACACACTAAAAACATATCAAATAACCAATCTTCACAGCCACAAAAATATACTTAAAAATCAACATAAACATGGAAAGACTTCTACAATGACAACTTTAACACGATAAAAATATAAGTTAAGGAAAACTGTAGAAGACAAAAAGAATTTCCATGCTCTTGGATTAGAAAACAAAAAAACCACAACCATCTTGTGAAAATGTCTATCCTACCAAAAGTTATCTATGCATTCAATGGAATCATAATCCAAATTCTAGGGTCATTCTTTATAGACATAGTCAAATCCACATAAAAACTTCATGTAGAGATATAACTAAGAAAAAACAAAGTAAATTTAAACAAAAAAGATGTATCAACATCACCAATGTAAAATTATATCATCAAGCCCAAATATTAAAAAGCAACCTGACATTGAAATAAAATGGTTAAAGATCAAAGAAGAATAAAAAAGAATAGATGATGCAGTTTTAATGCAAACAAACGCAGCCAACTGGGTTTTACCAAAAGCAACAAAAGAATTCACTGAGCAAAGCGTCTTCAGCAAGTGGTGCTTGAGATTGTGGATGTCGACAAGCAGAAAAATTCAAACAGAACCCTATATCTCACCCTGTACAAAATTCAACTTCCAGCGGGTCAGGAAGCCCAACATGTGGCCTGAGACTATGAAACTGCTGGATAAAGTAGGGAGTAGGTCTTAACTTATATGCACAGGTATGGACTTTCAGAATAAACTCTCATTAAATTGGAAATCATTTTGCCAGTCAGCAAATGAATCCTCACCACAATCAAACACCCTATAAAACAAAGAACATCATCAATTGAGGGAAGAGGCCACTTACTAATTGGGGTAAAATACTTGCCAGCTGCTGTACATCTGACAGAAGATTAATGTCTAGAATATAGGAAGAACTTTAAAAACTAAACATCAAGAAAACAACCAACTCATTTAAAATGGGCTTTGGAAAACAAGAATTCTCAAAACAAGAAATATGCATGGTTAGTTAAAACTTAAACAGCAACAACAAAAACTGTTCAATAGACTTAACAATCAGGAAACTACACTTAAAGTCACTTCAAGATTCACTCAGATTTGGTTGGATCAAGAATACACATGACCATGAATGTGCCCATGTGGCTGTATCGAAAGGAAACGCTTATACACTGATGGCCAACTAATACAACACCATGGGAATTGTTCTGGTGATTTCTGAAAAATGGGAAATGGAAGTACCACGAAACCTAGCTATAATCACTCCTGAACATATATTCTGAAGACAATATCCTACAACTGAGATGCTTGCACATTGTATTCCTTGTGGCTCCATTCACAGCTAGTAGGAAATGCAATTAATCAAGGTGTTTATCAAATGATCCAAAAATATGGTACCTATTACTCAACTGTGGGTAGAATGAAACCATAAAATGTGTAGGTAAGTGGAAGGAAATGGCAACAAATCATACTGGGTGAGATTGATCTGCCACAAAAATATAATCACTATATTCTATCTCTCTGATTGATTACAACTTTGAAAATAATGTTTTCTATATTTCTCCTAGAGAATACATGAGGTCTAAGTTAGTAGGAGGGGCCATACCTTAAGCTGGCCCGATGAATATAAGTAGAGCAGGGGAGTGTTGAAGGTGGCAGAGTTAATAGAGGGGTGTGGTGATGAGGACTGTGACCTCATAATGCTTAAACAAAAGGTGTATGAGATAGCTATAAGAAAACCTATGTCTTCCAACCTGATTAAACAACTCATTTTGAGGGAATAGAACATAGTATACACATAGTTCCCATGTATTCATCAAAAGAATGAAAATAGAAGAATTGCTATAAAAGATGCAAAGATGTGTTGACATGGGACTTTGATGCACATTTCATTTGCATTCAATAATTTTCACTCATGTCAATAAAAAAGCTTTTAATTATATATTTAGATAAATAAACAAAGACAAATAATCACAAAACACCAAACAATGGGGCCCACTGACTATATGTTCCCATGTCATTAGCAAAAGAATAATATCACTGAGGATTACAATACAGTCAGTTTCACTTCAGGGTTGACAAGTGTTTCAGCTACATATTTAATTCTAGCAATTTGATTTCACAATCCAGTCCAAGGAACCCTAATAAAGTTCTTCAAAGTTTTACTACTGTTGTTACACTGATGTAAAAGCCATAAGTACTGATGATGTCATGGTAAATAAAATAAAGTGACTATACATGAAAGACATATCAAGGTAATACTTGGCAAAGAATTCTCATGGAATCACTAGGTGTGTGAGAAAAAATGTATTTCAGACAGGATGATAATGAAGTACAAAATGGGTTTGAACTTTGCCAAATTTTTTATATCAAATCTTAGTATACCTTTATTTTTTTCTTTTTTAATTTAAATTAGAAACAAACTTGTTTTACATGTCAATTCCAGTTCCCTCTTCCTCCCCTGCCCCTCCCCACTGACACCCTATCCCATTCCCCAGGGAAGGTGAGGCCTTCCATGAGGGATCTTCAAAGTCTGTCATATCATTTGGGTCAGGACCTATGGCCTCCCCCGTGTACCTAGGCTGAGAGAGTATCCCTCTATGTGGAATGGGCTCCGAAAGTCCATTCTGTTGCTAGGCATAAATACTGATCTCCACTATTAGAGGCCCCATAGATTGCCAAGGCCTCCTCACTGACACCCATGTTCAGGGGGTCTGGATCAGTCCTATGCTGGTTTCCCAGCTATCAGTCTGGGGTCCATGAGCTCCCCCTTGTTCAGGTCAGCTGTTTCTGTGGGTTTATCCAGCCTGGCCTTGACCCCTTTGCTGGGATGTATCAGGAGGCTCCTAGCACCTCATGAACCAAGATGATTGCCATTGTCCTTATGGGGGTGGATGAGATGTAGGTGTCCTTAGCCAAAGATAGGAGGCATGTACAGCAATACATTAATGTCTGTCCATCCTGAGAGTTGTTCAAAGACTCTTGCAATTGGAAATCTACATTCAAATACTAGACTTAATATTTTGCCTACGTACAGACTTCACCTTGTAAATTATGAGATATCTTTTTCTTGGTGTTCCCATCATAATTGCTTTGTTTTCCAGGCTCATCAGAAAATTCAAAAAGTTTAATCTCAGGCAATTCACACTCTAGTTGAGTTCTGTTGTTTGGACATGAATGATGCTCCTCCTAGAATTGACAATTGTTGAGGAAAAAAAGCAAACTCATCCGAAAGTGCATATACCCCAATTCAGCTGGACAATCATATTGATCTTTTTAAGTCTTCCAAACCATAAGGGCAAAAAGTATGAGTGCTGTAATAATAATGTGAACAACACATGAAGATATCAGATTGCACAGATTTATTTAATGTATAGAAAGCAAATATCATCAGTATATGTCAACAGTACAGAGTAGGAAATAGTTGTACATGACCTCTAATCTCATAATCTGCTGGCAGTTGAAGAAGAAAGAAGCTGTTAATGGAAGGATGACATGATAATACCAGGGATTAAGCAGGAAAAAACAATAGCTTTAGAACATAGACTTCAACATATGAGGATATAAAGGCTTAACAGCTGATTCCATAAAGACCTGATCCACAGATTGGTCTGTAACAAGGTTGGCAGGAACCAGACACCAAGTAGCTTGGGTGGCAATAGCTGTACCCATAACCCAGTGAAGGGAAGCCAGAGACTCCACAATTCAGAGATCTGAAGCCACTGGATCCACACCCAACTGAGTAGGAGCTTCTAGATCCATAGCCCAGAGAATGGCAGCTGCTGGATCCAAAGCCCAGACACCCAGCATATGTCCCCTGACAGGGACTGCAAGGTGTGAAGCTCCTGGGGTAGTAGCAGGCTGTCTGACAGGGGCTGGACACCACACAGGACCTCTGGCAGCTGGTGGGCTTGTAGGAGCTTCTAGATCCATAGCCCAGAGAATGGCAGCTGCTGGATCCAAAGCCCAGACACCCAGCATATGTCCCCTGACAGGGACTGCAAGGTGTGAAGCTCCTGGGGTAGTAGCAGGCTGTCTGACAGGGGCTGGACACCACACAGGACCTCTGGCAGCTGGTGGGCTTAATGCAGGTCTCCTGACAGCCACTGTTGAGAGAGGAGCCCAGCTGGCAGGTGCTGGGAGCACAGGTGGTGTAGACCAGGTTGCTGGGGTAGGAAGAGCCACAGGAGGAACCTGAGGAGGGCAGGCAGCTCCTTTGGGAGCGGGAGGAGAAGTTGGCAGAGCAGCAGCTGTAGGCCATGTTGAGAGGAGATGTGAGCTCTGCTTGATGTACCTGAGAGGATTCTGTGTTTGAATGTCACCCTGTGGAGAGCTGGGTTTATATACTCTCAGCAACAGGTGTGGTACCCAACAGTCTCATCCTTGTTGTATTTGTGTGCTTCCTGGTTTACAAATGTGGAAATCAGTAATCTCTGTAATTGTCATTCATTTGAATAGTTTTCCGCACAGTGTATTTGTGGGTGTTGTAATTTTGTTATAATTAAGACAATGAGCTACTCCTATGCCAGCGATGCTGTGTGTGTGACTGTTTTACAGGGATGCTTATTCCATCATGTCTAGGAAAATCCCTCCTTTTCCTCTTGACACAATTTTTTATGTTTTTTTCAGATGTTATGGGGAAAATACTTTTATTTCTATGCTATAGGATGCTAGTAACATGCATCTCCCCTTGTTAGTGAGTTGAATGTCTTTTTGAATATCCCATGGAACCTATTAAAAATTAAAATTACCTGTCCCCCTTGGTGTCTGCTTTCCCAAATTATTACATCTGTATTACAAAATTTAACCTGTTGGTTTCACACAAAACCATGTTAACAATAGAAGCCAAGAAAAGCTGAGTAAGTTTGAAACTGGGAAGAGCAGAAGCAAGTCAATGATAAATGTCGTGATCCCAAGGAGTAGGAATGTAAGAGAGTCACAAGTCTAAACCCATGTGGAATTGAATCAAAGTAAACAAAACACAGTAGGAAAGAGACGGGAGCCAGTTTTACATCTGCTGTGTGATATGAGGACTGAGGTCATCTGGATTCTCATCTGTGTGTGACTGAGTAGAGGGTTTGATTCTCACTCCTTATGCATAGGGGTATTTATTCATTTTTCACACTGGTTCTTCCTGTTGTGGTCTGAAATCCAGCCACATTAATGCAAGATCTTGTTTGTTATGGTCTGTTCCCAAGTAATGACTGAGCCCAGAGAAGGCAAAGGAATTCCTGATCGGCTCTGGTGGCCAACCTTAGCACTGGATTTCCCCATACTCACTGAAGCAAGGACCCTGCATCTTGTATAAGTCAAATGAGCCATTTCTCTTTCTCTTGAGCCTTCAGTTTGAAGAAGTACCTGGTGAAGAAAAATAATCCAAAGACACCAAATACATCAAATTTTGTTTATAATATATTGTGAAAAAAAAGCCTGCTGTTAGCTGACAGCACAAACTTCAGGCAGATATATTCTCTTGGGAAGAAAATGGGGCTGAGAAAGAAAATTACTTAAATTCTGTCATGATTTATTTAAAAAAAATAGAAGTTTTATTTTTGAGACTGTGCACTCTTTATCTAAATCATGTCTGCTACATCCATCTTTAATATTCTCCTTATTGACTAGACACATTACAATCACTTATTTTTTTTACTATTTCATCATTGATACCTTTGATTAATACTTGTATATTCTCAACTGCAGTCTCCTCGAATATTCCTACAACCTCATTCACCCCATTTCTAACTATGGCATACTTAGATTTCCACAAGACCCCTACAGCCCTTCTCTCTTTTCAAACATGTTTCATGACCTTTAGTTTGGAAACACCGTCATAATTCAGTTCACTGTGTTTGCAGCTGTCAATGGGAATCCGATGAAACCCATCCAATTTTTTCAAATCAGTTACTTTATTTTTAAATTTTTAGTTAAATTCAATTGCATTATTTTTATATTCCTATCAAATTTCTCAATCGCATCTTTTGTTCACAGGTATAATTATTTCTGGAACATAAAATGTTCCTGTTTCGTATTGTCAGATTCTTCACATAGGTACAGTTCTGTGTCACTGAATGATGGGCGTGGGTTTTGGAAAATGTGCTGTTAGCAAGTTCCATAATTTCCAATGTCAGGGTGTGTTTAAACAAATATGGCTGCTTTATCGCTAGGCAACACAATCCTACAGGGTCCCCATCATCTGCGCAATGTGCTGCTGACTGAATCAGGGCTCTGGGACACAATCCTACAGGGCCCCCATCATCTGTGCAATGTGCTGCTGACTGAGTCAGGGCTCTGGCACACATGACTGCTTTTTAATGTTTCGGTCTGCTTCCATGAATCCTGTGCTTCACAGTCTAATTTCTGCCAGTCTCTTGTGTCTCAGACTTCTTACATGTCTTCCATGCTCTAAGAAATAACAGACATTTCCAGTGGAAACAGATTTTAACCTCCTCTAGAGATTGTTACTTTTAGTTCAGCCAGGCTGCTAGAGTGAAAACTCCCATAACCTAGATCATTTCAATCCAATCAAGAACTGATGCCATTGAGACTTGGGTTTCTGCCCTTGTACCCTTATAAGGATCTGCCCATTAAAAATTCCATTTTGCCTGTCAGGATTGGCTTTCTAAGATCTGGGGTTTTTCCCAGGGCCCCAAGTCTTTGAGGGGTCCAGAATTCCAAATTCCTTCTACAATCTTGTAAATCTGTAGAAGTTTCCTATCGCCTTGATCACAGGTGCTTAAATCAGGATACAACTTTAAGAGCATCACAGATCGAGGATAAGTGGCTTCGTTCCGGCTCATATACGGTCTCTGTCATTCTGCAATGCTTTGGTGTGGCCCCCCGACAATGTGTGTGCATGCATACACACATCTACATATGTGTATGTACATACACACATTTGTATTTTTTCTCTATTTTTCCTGGGAAACTTAATCAATATTTTAAGCAATCTACAACTGATAACATTGTAGAACTTCAAACTATTTATGTTCTCGTGATGTAGAAATGAATCTAATGAGGGTGCATCAGAGTCCACCACTTCAATGTGATGACACCCATTGACGTTGGACAGGTTCAGAGGCTACGGTTATGAGAGTCTGGCTTGTGTGTCAAACACCGACTGTCATCTTTATACCACATACCTCTGCTTTCCACAGAGATAACAAAAGCCCTAACTCCATGTTTTTATATTATCCTGTCTCCATATTCTATTTTATCCTTTCATCCTTCATCTATTTCTTTCCTTTTTTTTTTCTTGTGGTTGTGAATTTCAAAGTAACACCTCACCCCCTCACACCCAAAGCATCTGTTAGCACCTTGCTAGTGCCCTAGGAGAGGTCTTAGGTACACCCTGCAAACTGACTATGAAAATGTCTATAAAATTCTTCCTAAAGACTTTACATTCATGAAAGTATGCTGAACCCCTGTAAGAAGAATTTATTGAAATTGAGCTCGGGTGCTGACAGTTGCTTCATTTTCTCTATTTCCTAGTGTCTTTCCCTATCTGTAGAATCATCTCTTAAATAAGCAGTGTGTATTGGAATCCATGTTTTAAAAATAACTTTATTTTATCTTTTATGTGTAGGTGTTTGCCTAGATACCTGTGCAGTGTGTATGTACCTGGTACACTCGGAAGGTTAGAAGATGATCTTGTGTATCTATGGGTCTATGGTTACAACCGGTTGTGAGTAATCATGTGTGTCCTGAGATTTGAACCCTTCCTTTGGAAGAGCAGCTAGTGTTCCAAACCATGATCCATCTATCTGGCCCTGGAATCTCCATTTTGAACTGACTTTAGAACAAATTTATAAGACCGAAAATAACAGGATTTTTAAGATTAATTTTTATTTTAGTTGATATATGTACATACGTGCATATATGTGTCCATGTGGGTAGCCCTGCAAGCAAGAAGAGAGTGTTAGATCCCCTGGAACTAGAATTATTGGCGGTTGTGAGCTGCCTGACATGGGTGCTGGGAATCAAACTGGCTCTCTGGAAGAGTAGGGCATGCTCTTAACTCATGAGCTTTCTCCCCAACCCAAAGCATTTATTAATATGTTTATTAGACAGCAAGCAGTGTATCTCTGACATCATATAAAAATTTAAAAGTGTTACCTTGAGAAAAGTGTTAAAAATTCATTAAAGGAAGAAGTGTCCTTCAGAATGGCATGTAGGAGTCTTCTGTCATGAGTACACTTTTGATCACATGGAGTCAAATGCTCTTTGAATTAGAGAGTTCTAATTTAGTGATGTATGATGAAAAGAATACATTCTGTGACTATTAATAGTGTTACAGTAGAATCTCAATACATTAGTTTATGTTTATGAAGATTATAATCTATAATCATTTTAAAAGCAAGATCTCACTCAGTACGGTGAGTGACAGATTCATTGACATTTTAAAGGGAAGAGGTTGTAGGTATCTCTGAAGCCATAACTTTCCATATATATGAATTTCTTTGAAAATACCTCAAACATGAAAAGATAACTTTCATCACCTACTGATGAGAATACACAATCCAATATCAGAAGCTTTTGCATGAGTAACCTCCGAGTCATACATTTTATGTGAACTATTCCAGCTTTTTCCGTTTTATGGATAACTAGATAAAAGTAATCATAGAGCTAGGCAGATGAAAAAGGATAATCTCAGACAAATTTAGTTCAAATGTAGGGATTTTTACATCAATTTATGAGGACAAAATTATAGATCTCGGGAGACATAAAAAATAGGATAGCCTATTCACATCAACTAACTAAAAAGAGTCCTTGAAAAAGACAGGGTACTGAAAAAGAACTCACTGAATTACTTCTTGCCTTGTAGAATTATTGTATTTAACACCTATTTGTTCTCAATGTAAATGAAAGAGTTATTTATGAAACAACAATAGCAATAAGTAAATGGAAAAGAATACTTCCATCATTATCTTACTCTTAGTCACTTCATCCTGAAGCACAAAATAACAAAACATGATTTTTTCTTGAAAACAGAAATCAAAAAAATGAAGTAGCTAAAATTTTGTATCTTCACATCGTCCCTACTTGCCTTTTTATTAGGTCTACATGACCATTACAGTACTTCTCCTATTACTATACATTTGACCTTTATAAGGATTACAAATGGATTATATTTTATTAGAAAATTGTGAAAAATTTGCCATAAACTGTAGTAGTGCATCCCCATTCTGTCTGAATATAATTTCTATGTGTTTTGACACAGAATATTCTATCAGTGAGTATAGCTTAGAAGAAACTGGTTATAGAGTGGGAACCCAATGAGAGTATTAAATATATTTTCAACTTTAAGTCTGTAGTTTGCTGGGAAAGATCAAACTAGCAAATAAAAAACAAAAGAAAGCAAAGATGAACATAGACAACAAAGTAAAATTTAAGCACAGAACAAACAAAATGGTGGTAGGAGGGAAGGAAGAAAGACTGAATGAGAGAAAAGGGAAGAAGAGGAGGAGGAGAAACAGGAGGATGGAAAGGGAGAGGCGGGAGGAATTTTATACATTCATCTACTTCCTACTTAGGCTGAAAAGTATAGGTGGGCACAAGGATATAGCACTGACAAAAAGCCACAGGATACCCAATATCAAGAAAAGCAGAAGCATACAGCAATGGTATAGAAACATCCATCATTACAGATGCAAATGAGGGAAGGAGAATGAGAAAAATTTAAGTATGTTTAACTTGCAAAAACATTGATGATTCAGGCATTGGAAACTAGAAATCACAGTGTAAGGGTGCAGTGAGACACAGTGTCACACAGCTTCAGTCTCAGCACTGAGGAGGATGGGGCAGAGAGACCACTCATTCCAAGACAGACTGGACAATACCGCAAAATCTTGATTTTAAAAATACAAACAAATCAATATCAAAAACACAAAGAGTTCAATGGAAGGATTGTGAAGTCCTTCCCTGTTTCTTCATTTTTATACTTATAATTATTTCCTCCCTACATTAAAAAGGTGGGACTGTTTCATTTGAGATACTTTTCAATAACTTGCCTGTAAATACCCAACAGCTCTGCCCAGTCTCTAGCTGCCCTACTTATTATGTTGCTTTTGTCTATTTTAAAATTGTATCTATTCAATTGCTACATAATGTGTAACTGTAATCTATGTTTTAATTGTGTTCTGTTACCACCACACTAAATTACCATGAGGCAGTTTGGCAGCGGCAATGGAGGTTAACAAGATAGAGTTGAATGCTATTGTCTGTATGGAAACATACCAAGTTTCCAGATAAATAATGTTATCTCCTTCTTCAGTTTCAGGGAAGAAACATTCACTAGCTGAGGCAGGAGTGTGCAACCAAGTATAGCAGGTAGCACATAGTAGAGGAATCAGAAGGGCTTCCATAGCTGTGATGGGACAGGCATTAATAAAAAAAATAGTCATAGCATTTTGTAGATAGGAGTAGCCCTTTGGTCTTTGTTACAACACTCATAAATATACTGTACAGAAAATTATTCAAATGAATGACAATTACAGAGATTACCAGAGTTCCACATTTGCAGACCAGGAAGCACACAAATGCATCAAGGATGAGACTGTTGGGTACCACACCTGTTGCTGAGAGTATATAAGCCTAGCTCTCCAAATGGTGACAATCAAACTCAGAATCTCCCTGCTACATCCAACTGAGCTCACATCTCCTCTCAACATGGCCTACAGCTGCTGCTCTGCCAACTTCTCCTCCCGCTCCCAAAGGAGCTGCCTGCCCTCCTCGGGTTCCTCCTGTGCCTCTCCCTACCCCAGCAACCTGGTCTACACCACCACCAGCTGCTCTCCCAGCACCTGCCAGCTGGGCTCCTCTTTCAGCAGTGGCTGTCAGGAGACCTGCATTGAGCCCAACAGCCGCCAGAGGTCCTGTGTGGTGCCCAGCCCCTGCCAGACAGCCTGCTACTACCCCAGGAGCTTCACACCTTGCAGTCCCTGTCAGGGGCCATCTGCTGGGTGTCTGGGCTTGGGATCCAGCAGCTGCCGTTCCCTGGGCTATGGATCTAGAAGCTGCTACTCAGGGGGCTGTGGGTCCAGTGGCTTCAGATCTCTGAATTACAGCTTTCCAACCAGATATTACAGATCCACTGTCTGTAGCCCAATCTGTGTTCCTTCTAGGGGGTTCTATTCCTCTTGTTACCAACCAATCTATACATCTGGCTTCTGTTAATTAATCTGTTGACTCTCCAATGCCAATACTAAACACAGATTCTTTCATTTTATCCTTGAGAATTGTTGAAATTTTCTTGGTCTTCTGCTGCTTTTTTTCTTTTCTAACCCTCAAATTTGGCTCTGTCAATCTGCAAGACTAAGGAAAAATTCAACTACATTGTTGATGAAACTGATAACTTTTTCACTTCTCCAAAAATTACCAAGTCAAGTAATTTCATCCTAATAAATCCCTGTTCCTGTTGCACAATTACGTGTTTGTGTTATTATTTACATCTACTGCATTATGGTTTAGATGTAAAATACTCCATAGGGGCTGGTCTTTTCTCTGGTCTCACACTGAGGTTACCATTTTGGATGTTTGTGGAACCTTTACAGGGTGGGGTCTAATTGGAAGAAGGGCATCTCTTGGGGCAAGATCTTGAGTTCTCTCAACCCATCCTGCTTCCTGTTTCTGTATGTCCCCGAACCACCAATATGTGAGCAAGCAGCCGCACCCGGCTGCTGCTGTGATGTTTTCCTAACTATGGTGAAATGGATCCTCAAGTCATAGTCCAGAACAAGCCTTTCCTTCATTGTGTTTTTGTCAGACATTTGGTTTAGGCATAAGAAAAAATATACAATGCCTTAATTAGCATTGGTTGTGATTATTTTGGGGCATTAGCTTCCTTAGTCTCTAGGTATGGTTCCCTCTTTACACAGATATTCCTAAGCCCTCTGAGTTTTTACATGAACCTCTTCTCCACCTAATGACACAGAGAACTGACCTTCCTAGTTAAATTAGTGACTATATCATGCATTTCAAAGGGTAGAATGTATTGGAAACTTGAGGAAAAAAATTAGGTTTATGTGGTAAGGTCAATGCATGAGGGATATTAACAGAGAAGATTAATATCTGTGTGTTACTTCTCAAGTTTGTGAAGTTAGTGTTTAGTTGGCATCACTTTTAGGAAATTGTTTAGTCCCCATAGCTCAGTTAATATTTTCAATCTGCTAAAATTATTTCCATTTATATAAACAAGAAGTCAACATATTTAGAAAAATTGCTTGTTTCAGCAGGTGTAAAATTGTACCTGGGTTCTTGGCCAATATGTGAATTAAATCTAATGGAAAATAATAGGTCTTTAACAATATCAAAAGTGACTCAACAACCTCCTTAATAACTTTGAATAATCTGGAATCATAATGTCCTGGTCTTTCTAGCTCAAATACTTAGAAGTAAGTAAAAGAGCATATCAAATACAGAAAAATTACTAACTTGATAATATGAGGAATCAATACTCATATCAAACAACATTCACATGCTTTGCCTACTCTTGTTTTATGAGATCGTTGAACATTCTCTGAAATTGGGAGCAGAGTGCTGAGTATTGGATGCCTGTCAAAGGCTAAACTTCCATGTATGTCCCATTCATGTCATCATGCTTGCTTCCTCCTTTGATAGTGCAGTAACTAAGCTTAAACTATGCAAGCATGGCAGGCAGAGTTCACTGTATCCCATGCACTTACTCTGCAGCCTTAGAAACAGAAAGAGAAGAATTAGGTGAATTTTCAAAGATTACAGTTAGGGTTATTGTGGTGCTCTACTTGGAACCACACTGCGTCTTCCTCTGGGTGTCCGCTGATTTTATTTACCTAGATCATGCCCTGTGGTGTCCTTTATTGAGCAACTGACACTTTTATTCCATTATGACCTCTCCCTCTTCCTTCATTACTATTTTTCACAAATAATTATGATGCTTATATAGTTATAGGGGGAAAGTAACAATGAAGTAGGATTGGGGCAAAGAATTAACCCCCAACAGCATCAAAGTTGGTCTGGAAAACAGTGAACTCAGTCCTTTGCATACTGTCTTTAGGTTTGCATGATCTCTCTCACTCTTATGTTAATCATCATTACCCAGGGTCAATTGTCATGTTTCCTCCCTGGAAGCAGGGGCAGCTGCAAGGTTTGAAAAGATGCACTTGAACTCCTGACTTCAGGCTGGTTAATCCTAACTTCAGGATTAACCAGCCTGAAGTTAATCTGCTACTGTCCCAAGACTTCAGACACAGGTGTGGCTTTCTGCTTTCCGGAAAGATAGTACAAGGGGTCCATAATATACAGTCTTTGAATTATAATTATTCTATTAGGAAAATATAAATGGGATATGTATTCAGTAAAATTCCCGCTTTGAATTTTTAAAATGTTATTAGAATATAGCCACTGTACAAAATGGGGTTTTTATTATGACATATTCACAAATGCACACTGAATTTAAAATCTTAGTCTTCACACAGTCAATGATATATGGCACGATATCGTTTCATGTTGCCTTGGGTGGTCTAACTTCAGCGCTGAGCCATCTGGGTCATTACAGAGGTTCACAACTTAGGTAGGGTGGGAATGCGGAATGTAGTTTGGGCCTGTGGGATTTTGTTTGTTTGTTTTAAGCTCACATTGAGTGTAGAAGACAATTGCACCAGTCAGAACACATCAGCAGTGTCTTAGGATTTTATAGCTGCCACCACAAATTAGACCAAACTAAGTGTCACCAGCAATGTAATTATCTTTCAATTCTCTAGGACTAAACTTCCTAGCATACAGACTTTATTTTCTCTCTATTCCAGCAATTAAACACGTGCCAGTAAACTGTGGTCTGCTAATTTGTAAGTTAATTCTACCTTCTGCAGTTAACAGAAGGCCAGCCAGCAGTTTTCAGGATTATAGCTAGTCACTTCTACTCTTCCAGCATCCTCCTAATGCACACTTAGACACACACATGCTAAGCCAAAGATTTTGAACTCAGGGGCTCACAAACATAGCATTGGCTGCTCACTTATAATCAACCGCCAAGGCTAATGATCATCTGTTAACCAATTGGTTTTCTGTGCAGGTTTCCAAGAATTGCTGTGACCAGTTTCCAGAAATTCTCTCATGAGTAATTTCCAGGCATTGCTCTTCTACTATTTCTGCTTGTCAGTGACTACTGAGAGTTACTTTGCCATCTTCCACCATCACACTAGGTTATTTTGTATTTTTTGTTAGGTATGCCTTTAATGTATCATCATCATCATCATCATCATCATCATCATCATCATCCAAATTAGCATTGCTACCCTGAAAATTTCACTCCTAACACCACAACATCCCTGAATTCACAGTCAACGTGACTTAAAATATTGTATAAAAATTATCTTCAAACTGTACATATAAGGCATATAGGAACATAATTGAATTTCAAGTTTAAACTGGGAATTTCCCAAGGTATTCTTATTTTGTATATATAAATAATGTGAAATCTGAGAAATTTTGAAAACTAAAATGCTTCTGATTCCAAGAATGTCACAGGCTTGATATCCTTGTGATTTAATAATTATTTATGTACATAATACTGATGCTGACAAGTGGTATGTTCAGAAAAAAGAAAGCAAGCACATTTTAAAAATATTTCAGTTTTTGTCAGTATAGACGGCTATGTGAATGAACACATCTTGGAAAATAATGAAACATTTGCTGATATGCATTCTCTAGAGCAGCATCAGATGAGAGTTGTTTTGAATCCTGTCTGGCACTGATAAGAACGGTGACAATGTGTTACTGAAGCATGACTAATGGAAAATATGGGAGGTGAGTTCAGGGAAGAGTAAAGCTGTTGTTATCTGTAATCTCTAATGTGACAAAAATACACAAATAGAAATTGTGAAATCCCTTGAATAGAAATGACTCGGGCAGTTTCCAGGAAATCTGAGTCCGTGCATTGTTCCCTAGAAGTCACTACAGTTTGGCCAAGAACAAGAGGATTAGTCATTCCTGGAAAAACTGTTGTTTGGATAGTATCAGCTTACGACCTAAACCGCTGGGTATGAAATTCGCAGAACTAGTAAGTGTGATTGATGGCAGGGAACACAGGAGAAAGCTGGAGGTCTGGTAGAGATAGGACCTATTAGAGGTGGAGCTATCTGGTGGCCAGCAAGGCTGGGTGTGTCCAAATCTGAGCACCCAGGCTGATGATGTATGAGGAGTAATGTATCTTCATCTTGGTGAACTCAAAATAATGCTAAACTTTGGTGGCTAAGAGTGAAGAGTACATCTCTGTAGTGTAGAGGCTTCTGATCATATGCAAGGCCCTGGATTCCATCCTCAGTAGAACCAACTATGAAATAAAATATATAACGTAATTTCATACTGAACAGTTGGAACAAGCCTGGGATTAGCTATTTCTCAAGAGACCCTTGTGAGAAAATAGAATGTCATGCATAAGGATAAGTTGATGATTTGATTACAACTTGCATGTGAGAGTGTGGCATTTAACTTCAGTACCAATTGAGATGTCACGTGTTCATTGTTCACAATACAATAATTACCAGTTGTGTACAAGGACTTCATTATGGTACTGTGTAATTACGATTGCATCTACTTTTCCAAGAGAATTTTGGATTGTCTGACTAGAGTTTTTCCATAGGCCAATGAACCACTCTAATTTCTGGTGCAATTTATCCATGAGTAAGGACTCCAGTTCAGACAAAATGTATTCCTTAACATTAATGCAGCATTTTCAGCCGAGCGTTGGTGGCACACGCCTTTAATCCCAGCACTCTGGAGGCAGAGGCAGGCGGATCTCTGTGAGTTTGAGGCCAGCCTGGTCTACAGAGCAAGTGCCAGGATAGGCTCCAAAACTACACAGAGAAACCCTGTCTCGAAAAACAAAAACAAAATAAATGCAGCATTTTCAAGATCCCTTTGATAATTTTTCACCACAGATTATAGAAGCACACATAGAGATAACTTAGACTTTTTTTATAAACCAAACAAGTTAAGAACAAAATAAATTTCGGGTCACTGGAAGGTACATGATGCTGTTATTTCAATTTCTCTTGGGGGAAGTTGAATAGAATTTTCTACATTTTTCTTATTATATCCTTCCTTTTATATTTTTCAGTGAAAGCGTAGAAGCTGTTACTGCAGATTTGTTGTTGTTGTTGTTGTTGGGGGGGAGACAATGACTGGGAGGAAAATAA